CCTGAGCAAGGAGACTGAAAGGGGGTCTCGCTTACGGGGGTCGTGCTGCTGCCTCCATAGAAGGTGACCTCGTCCCAGGTGACCACGAAGAGCCAGACGGCGGAGAAAGAGGACAGGTTTCTGAAGTATTTCCGGATGTCTTTGGAGACTTTCTTCAGGAGGGCAGGGTCCGTGCTCTCCCGGTAGTAGATCTCTCCTCGGATTCCATTGTGGACGTCTGCCCAAAATGGAGCAATAAAGGCTCGGCCATCGGCAAGGGGGAAAGGCTCTGGGGTGAACTGGCTGACCAGCACGTTGAAAGAAATCACGCCATTGTTGTTGACCTAGAAAAGGAGGAGAATGGTGTGATTGAAGCAAACCCAGGCCTTGACTGCGAGCCGAGAACTGTCAGCTGAAAATTATTCCCGGGCTGATGGCGGTTTCGGTGAAGGCTGGCGTAAGCAATGATGTGATGTAAATAGGCCTATCCATCTAGGCCCCTCATCGCTCTAGCGAGCGAAGCCTTTGCTAAAAGACCGTGAGCTGGGGCTAGGAAGACAGAGATCGGGAACTGCAGAGAGTACAACCCCGATGAAGGCTACTTGGCCACAACAGTGCTCGGAGAGGAGCCTCTGTGTATCCACGCCAAAGGGGAACAGTCTACCAGGGAGATTTTGTGCCTGACACAGCTGGCGCCAGGTTGCTGGGTGAGGGCCCATTGACAAGAAGAGGGGACAAAGGGAGCGGTTGCCCCTGCGCGTGGTGATTCAGAAGCTCTCGGGGTTCCCAGCTGCTGCTCCGGGCCTTTTAAATCGCTGCTGGAGCCCTGCACGGAGCATGCCGGGCAGCACTGATGCCCGCCCCTTCTTCCTGAGGCCCTGCCCATTCCAGGGGCTCATAGCCAGCCCCCCCAGCCTTGCATAGGGGCCCAGCGAGGCTGTTGGTCCCCCTGGCTGGGTGTGTTCAATTGAATTAAGTTTTAGCGAACCGTTCTGCAGGGTCCTCAGTACTGGTCTGGTTTGATCCAAATAATTTCAGGGACTTGGTTACTGTCATGTTTAGGGTGATGATACGTCCTGTTTTTAACGGGACATTCCCTTTGTAAGACCTCTTGGCGCCCCAACTTTTTTTTCAAAATGGGCACATTGTCCCGTACTTCCCCTGCAGGGGGCCGGGGGTAGGAACCGCCCATGCTCAGCCGCTGAAGCCCCAAGCACTAGCGGTTCCCCTCTTCTCTCCACCCTGCATACTGCAGGGCACTTCATCCCTGCAGTAGGGCAGGGGGGGTAGGGAGCCACTGGCCACTTGCAGCTTCAGCCACTGGAGCCCTGAGCGCTGGAGGCTGCCCCCCACCGCTGCAGGGCTAAGCGCCAGCAAGCTCCCTCCCCCACACTTGGTGTCCTGTATTCGGCATGGGGAAATATGGTCATGTCGAGCCGTCAGTGCTAGGACTTCAGTGGATCCAGGGACACTAGCGCTCGCGTGCTGGGCACCAGACAACGCAACAAACGTGTCGACCACAAGTGAGGATGGACAAAGGCCACTTGAAATAAAACCAGAGATTCCCAGCCTGAGCCTCCATGCCTAGTCCTTGCCTGTGCGTGGATAGCTGATGCTCAGAGAGCATGGGTCTGAACAGTCCCCCTTCGAACAGCTGGCACACCCAGACCCCACGTTCAAATCCTGCTGCTGGGCTGACGGGATTGGTCAAAGGCGCACAACAGAGCTAAGCTCCGTCCAGTGCCGGGAGGGAAAATCCCGGGAGCGGGATCAAATTTTGCTGACTCGGTCCCCGCTTTGGATGCGGCGGGGTTAACCCTTCCTTAGTGCGGCCTGGCAGTTTCCTTCCCCCGTGCCCGTCTTGCTGTGAGGCCAAGAGAAAGCAGCAGCAGCCCAGAACTTTTTCAGGCACCGAGCACACAGTGGAAGGAAACTTTTCCCCCGCTGCATCTGCACGCTCTTGTTTCTTGTCAGGCATCGGGACTAATGCTCACGGCATCAAGGCCTTCGCTTTGGCATTTAATCACCTGCAAAGATAATTTATTGCCGGGGATATTCCCTCCCTGTGAACATTAGCCCATTAAACACCCCTTTGACTTTTTTAATCATAAAACCTATCAGTTCATGTAATCTAAGAACTTGTCAGGTAGGCACCGATAAATCTTCCACATCTTGAACACCGGGAGCGCATGCTTCAATTGCAGCTGCTAACGAGGGGGAAACGAGTACAAGAGGACAGCATCCACTGCAGCCTGGCCTCCACTTACATAAATGCTCCGGTACGGGACTCCAAAGAAGACCAGCGGAATGGACAGCTTAATCTCCGAGGAGCTGCCATCGTCCACTTTGGGCGTTTTGGTATCGTTCTGCCAGAACGGATACAGAATCTCCATGGACTGAGCTGGAAGAGGAGGGCACGGTTATTGGAAGGAACTGGTCCCGTTCTCGCTGGCTGCAGCGGTACAGGATCAGGCCCACAGCATCACGCACCCTGATGCGCTTTACATACTTGGTGCAACACTCACTACTGAAATGCAGCCACCTCTGGGGGGGTGGGGAGGGGTATGGATAATGGCAGCTGCTTAAAAACATGCCCCCGCACTGGGCAAGAGTTTAGAGCAGAGGGTGAAAAGAACAGACTCTGCAACTGAAGCCGCAAGAGGGATTTTATATGGGTGGAATGTCACTACCTAAACTGGAATTTGGCCAGGCACATTTGATGGCACTTTCCCAGTGGCAGTAGGTGAATTCCTGACTTTGGAAGGCAGGCTAAGGCTAACCCCCAATCCCACCGACCCAGTCCCCCCATTGTGGCCACTGGCGCCTGCTTCTTGGCCCCGGAACCCAAGGTTGCTGGGCAGCGCAGCTCCAGCTGCCCCCTGGGCACCCAAGGGCTGGGCAGGTGGCCCGGCCAGCCAGCCCGGGGGCCCGGCCAGCCCTGGCACCCCCCACCCAGGCAAGACACCAGCCCAGCCTGAGCCCAGCCCCAGCTCTGGGCTGCTGGAGCGCCCCCAGGAGTGCACCACAGTCCTCAGCCTGCCTGTCCCAGCCTCTACGAGCGGGCAGGAGGGGACCTAGTATATAGAGAGCATGTGCGGGGCCTGACCAAGCATTTTAGGAAGGCAATGCTTTCCCCTGCCTGTGATACCCACCTCCCATGCACCTCCCCTGTATAAACTGCGACAGGATCCTTCACGCACCCAAATGATCAAAGGCCTCTGTTCCAAACTGCAGTATCTTCTGCAGCACAGTGCCTCCTAACACCATGGCTGGGGCATTAACTCAGCACTCACAGACTCACAGACTTTGAGGTCAGAAGGGACCATTATGATCATCTAGTCTGACCCCCTGCACAATGAATCTCACCCACCCACTCCCAGAATAATCCCCTCACCTCTATCTCAGATATTGAAATCCTCAAATGGCTTAAAGACCCCAAGATGCAGAGAATCCTCCAGCTGTGATCAGTGCCCCATGCTACAGAGGAAGGCGAAAAACCTCCAGAGCCTCTGCCAAATCTACCCAGGAGGAAAATTCCTTCCCGACCCCAAATATGGCGACAATCTTTAAGACAGAAGAGCAGCAAGGAATAGGGAGAATGGTCCAGCGGGCAGGTTGCTAGCCTGCGACTCGGGCGACCCAGGTTTAATTCTCTGCTTCTCCTCAGCTTTCCTTTGTGACAAGCTATTGAGTCTTTCTGGGCCTCCATTTCTCACGTGTAAGATGGGGACAACAGCACTGCCCTGCCTCACAAGGAAACGTAAAGATAAATACGTGAAATATCCGAGTAATGGGGGCCAGATAAATACCTAATATAGGCAGATGGATAATGACATCTGCTGAATTAATATCCCTCCCTGTAGCACTCTGCCTTTTTCTTTGAGCTCTTCTATTCACATAGCAACCAGGTCTGGCCTTGCTCAGCTTATGACAGGATTCTAAGGCAAAGTCTGAAATGCTGCTGTTAGGAAATATTTGATGCGCTATCCTATTGGGGGTTTTCCACTAAATTAAAGATGTCACCACAAGTATCTTCTTTCTCCCTATGTCTTTTGACAGAAAAAAATTAAAAGCCAGTTTTCAGCCAATGATTTTCCAACAAAAAGATGAAATTTGCCACTGAAAATGTTGATAAAAACTAGGCCCGTTCAGTGAATTTTCCCACGGGGACTAGAACTCCATTTTCCACCAGCTCTAATTGCTAGGTATACAGTAGCGGATTATGCCTCCATAGAAACAGCTAGGCGGCCAATAGTGTGCCATTCACAGACATCTGTTATAATATAATTCTCCGTTTATTTAGCCCTATGAGGTTATCTACCACAGAGGGAACACACTTTTCCTTAACGAGAAAAAGAAATGCACCGTCCTCATTATATTCAATCAAAGCTGACCTGCGGAGCTAGCCTCAAAACAATTCCAGCTCTGTTTAAGTTGATTCAGGATATTCTTTTATCTTCTGGGTCCTAACCTGCAATTTCATAGGCTGCTAGCTGATGGGCGATTGCTCTGAGCCTGGGTTTTCAAAAATGCGGTGGGTTTTCTTCCTATTCTGTGCAAGTATAAGCTGCTTGGCTGTTGTAACATTTAAGAGCCTTTTGCTGGAATCTGGTTGATAATAGGGACAGGGGAAGCTGACCCTTTTAGGAAGGTTCTAACCAATAGAGCTTTCTAGCTCAAAAGAAAAATACCTGATCTGAAATCAAAAGTCAAAAAATGCCTTTTTTTTTTTTTAAAAAGAGTGTCTCTATGTCTCTCTCTCTGGCTGTGTCTACACTGCACCCCTTTTCTGGAAAAGGGATGCAGATTAGACACATCGGAATAGCAAAATCCACGGGGGATTTAAATATCCCCCGCGGCATTTGCATTTACATGGCTGCCGCTTTTTTCCGGCTTGGGGATAAGCCGGAGAAAAGCGCCAGTCTAGACGTGATTCTCCGGAAAATAAGCCCTTTTCCGGGGGATCTCTTATTCCTACTTTCAAGAGATCCTCCGGAAAAGGGTTTATTTTCCGGAGAATCATGTCTAGACTGGCACTTTTTTCTGGCTTATCTCCAAGCCGGAAAAAAGCAGTAGCCATATTAATGCAAATACCGCGGGGGATATTTAAATCCCCCGTGGATTTGCCTATTCCAAAGTGCTACATTAGCATCCCTTTTCAATTTCCACACTGGAGAGAATTATAAGTGGTGTGTGACAGAGTCCTGAAGGCATGACTACACTTATATACATATTTGGTAAGGGCTATCACAAATATCCTATTGCCGAGTAGTAAAATAAGTCATTTCACAGCTGTTATGTATCCAGCAGGCCATTACAGCTGAAGTCACAGCTATAAATTATTGATTTTTTTTAAAGTGTGGTACTTAGCACAACCCTTTAAGCAACCACTTTTTAAGCACTAGCATTGGAGTATAACTGCATGTGTAGCTTCTCCTGTCCAAATATCCCAATAGGCTTGGCCAGCAAAGGAATCTAGTCTCAATGCCCAGAGCTGCAGGCAGATTATCCTCATTTTGCAGGTGGGGAAACTGAAGCACAGTGGTTAAGTTATTTGCCAGTCGCCACAGAAGCAAAACGGCAGGCATCAGGATCAAAATCTCAAGCAACACAACCTTAACCACACCAGGGTTAAATCAATCCTGTGCTGTAACTATGCTGAGAGTTACAACAACAAAAACACTGCCCTCCCACAAAACACCTACCCACAACCGGCCCCATTCTGCTGTTCTCGACCCTCTCGATAATCAAGTTGAAATTAAAAAAAAAAGAACGCAATAAAAAATCTTCTTCAGATTTTCCTGTGCCTTTTACAAAACCACACACACACACACACACACACACACACACACACACACACACAAACTTGACATGGATGGAACTTTTGTGGAGTGAATTATCTTAATACATGTTTCCTCAAGGCTCTATAAATCATCAGGGAATATCAATGAGGATACACCTAAGATTTGGAATATGGAGGACTCCACAAACTAAGCCGAAGCTCAAACAAATGTCATTTAACACAGTTGTATGGTAGCTTGACATTTCTGCAGAATCTTTCTTCTCACTCGACTTTCATTCTACATAAGTTTGCCTGGCAAGCCAACTATCCAAACTCTAGGGAAGTTTTAAAGTCCTGCTTTCATGACAACAGTGGTATCATCCCAAGCTCCTGAATTGTGCACGAGGAGCTCAGAATTGGGTAGAGACTCTTTAGTCTGTTGGCTACTTTGACTTCATATTTGAAAGAGAAAGGGCGAGATGTCAATTGCTCTAGCTCCATTGATTTCAGTGAAATGATAACAATTTATGAGTTGAAGTTCTGTCTCTCTCACTGTGAATAAATGTCATCTGTGGAAAAATGTCATGTATATTTACCAGGTGAGGCACACAAAAAATCTATTTGTTTTCCCTTTGGTATTATGATTTAAAAATAAATTAGTCTTCTATTGTACTTGCTCTCAGACAAGGGGCTGTGTAGAAATTTTGCAAGGCTTGTTATGAACATGAAGTTTGCATGTAGCAAATTTCCGAGGCAAGCGCTTTCCTATTGTAAATGTCGAGTATCAGTATCCGAGGACCAAAAGTCAGAAATACTAACCTTGCTGCTGTACAATGATGAACACAAAGGCCACCCAGGTTCTAATGAGTGACGGATAATTCATCCTAAAAAGAAAAAAAAAAGCAATGGATCATCAATCCAAAACTGTATCTGCTAAGCAAATCTCAGGCTGATTGCTAATAGGGCCTTGCAATTGTGTGATCGCTCCAGAGATGCAGAAATTTGGGAAATGTCTAATCCATGAACTAGACCAAAAATGATGAGCTAGGTAGGTAGTGTAATGAAATCAAGGAGGATAAAACAACCTACCCTACAGGTGCTCTCAGGTTAAATGTACAACACAATTTCAGAAATAAACCAGCATGTTGGAATTAATGAATAGCACTTAGCTCCTAGTATGTATTCAACCCCCCTATTAATCCAACACAATTCTTTGCTGATTGGCTTCAAATATGGATATTACTGCTGGCTTTAAGATGAATAGCTTTGCATTGTTAGAAAATGAGAACGAATTATGAACTGTAGTGTGTTTATATAGTTAGAAGACTTCAAATGTTAGTTTAACTATTCCTTCGTACTGAGTGGTAATACAATGATCACTTAACATTTTTGACTGATGTGAAGGAAGCCCAAATGTTTACACAGATTGACAACTTCCTTGCTATAAAGAAATCAGCTATATACAGAGCGGTGAATCTGGGTAAATTAAAGAGAAATGTTGTATGGTATTTTAGTTTCTTTTATGCCTGATATTTGTTTTATGTTATTTATCAAATAGGAAGTATGACTAAAGTAGCTGTTTTGATTTCATTACTTTATCATTTTTATTCATTAAAGAGAGGGAAAAGTTTCTTGTACACACTTATATAAAGCTACAGTGTATACACAATATGTACAGGGGGTATATGACATTCAAGTATAAATTATATAGTGACCTCTTTACATAGAGATAATAGTTGCACTTCTATACTTGACATTAAATGTGTATCTAGTCATGCATTATTTTACATCTATGTCTGTATTTCAACAGTATAGACATTAAATCTCTACATAACAGATCTATAGATCTATTTATATAATGGAGTACACATATCTAGTTGTATTTATTTCTAAATGTCACATATAATGTAGATGGATAGCTGGACACACTTTCTATAGATCTACATATTACTTACACTTGAATCCAATTACAATGATGCTTGAAATAGTGAAACACCACGTATAATCAAGTCGAATGATAGTTCCAACTTCTCCACTGCTTCTCAAAGTGTCAATTGCAATTAGATTGAAAAAATAATCTTGCTTACAGCAAAGTTGTTCTGGGGTGAGAAAAATTAATTTAACTATGAAAGGATTCTGCTGTATTCCTTACTGTATAAAAGAAGCACGTATCATGCTAGGGTTGTATATAGATCTTAAATCTACGTTACTGTGGATTCATTAACTGAGAACACACACAATGACTAGCAGAGAATATAAATGTACTGCATTAAATCTTAAAAGATGTAAGTCTGGGGAACCAGCACAGAAAATAAAGGAAACAATGCTTAATTTAGTATATCTCATAAAAAAGCAATTTCTTTAAAAAGTATTAAAAAATACCAACCTGTTTTGAAGAGAAGGGAAGAAATTAAGTCCGAATTTTTAAATTGTATCTTGGTAAGCCAGGGGAAAACTTATGTCAATGAAGAATACATTTCAGAGCTCTTTAACCAATTATCGCTGATGTCTGAAATGATGTCTCAATCCCTTTTGCTCTTTCAATTGAAAATTCAGTTTTTCTCTGTGTTGTTTTAGGGCCAGAATAGTGTTGAACTGCGATCACAACTTTTTCCTCTATTAATTAATGGTAAATTAATCTACAGATCAGGTTCTGGGCTGTAAAAGTGAAGAGATTTCTTTCTGGCAGAACCCCCTCCCCCAACACTTCAAGTAGAGATAGATAGAAATGTCAGTAACTTGGAGCTGGATTTGTGGCTGTTCTGATCAGAATCGTTTTTCACTAGAGCGAAGAAAAAAAAAACCCACAAAAGAAACAAGCCCCTTCCTCCTTTGTGTAAGTGGAAAAAAAAGCTTCTATATAGTGTTACAGAATTAGCATTAGACAGCATAGGGATAAAACATGAAACAAAGTTAGAAATGTCAATGACATTAATTTCCCATCAAAGTCTTATTTGAGTTTACATAAATCAGCTTAGTTCAGGCTTTGGCAGAGAGGAGAATAAAAACTATCTAAAGAAAACAAGTTCTTTCCAAAATCTTCAGATTTTATTTCTTCTCCCGATCCTCCCAACCTAAGAGGAAGTGGGACTGACCTGCTTTGGAAAATGGATTTGGAAAAAAGAAAAGCTAGTATTTATATTGCAGTGGCATATAGAAGTCAGCACCTCACTGTGCCAGGTGCAGAATAGACACCCTAAGCGAAGACCCCGGCCCAAACTGCTGATAATGAAAGAGCCTGACTCTTGCCCCCAGCTGAAATCAATGGGACTAAATATTTTAAAAAATCAGTCCATTTGTCAATGTAGTGCAGGATTGGGGCCAATAAATCAAACAAATTTGCTGAGTAAGAGCACAAAAAAGGGGGAGGGGAGGCAGAGCAGAAACTCTTTAAAGGAAGACTTTAGGTTTCAAATACTTCCCCGCATGCTTAACACCACACGTGCATCGCCCTGCGGACTTTAGTGGGGCTACCGGTGTGTAAAGTCAAACATGGGAGGAAACGTTTGCAGGATCTGGGCCTTACAGTAAGTTACAGAGACAAACCCCTTACTTGTGAACCTGATTCCCAGTCTATTGAAGGGAAGAAAGCCCTTCAGGGGGAATCTAGAGATTCTTTTAATACTACCTGCCATTCAGAGCATTTGGATTCCTTCCAAAGGCAAAAACAAAACAAAACAAAAAGGCCTCTCTCTCTTCAGACGGCTCTTCACAGCTTACCTGCAAAGGGAAAATAAACTGGGCTTGTACTCCTGTGTGCTGCGTTATGATGAATACAGAAAAACGGAACATACCCTTTTTTCCTCTGATTGTTCTGGCTTTAAAATTCAGCTTCTGTCCGACTTAGGAAGTCCTATGATAACTAAAGTTGCTTTAATTTTACATCTTGCAATTGGGAGTGAACTTTCTATCATCTGGATATTTTGTCTCTTTTGGGTCTGGGCCTCTAGTTTTGTTATGCCCTGGCTAGATAGCATTGAGCACAGTATGCCTCACCAAATGACTAGTAACAGTATAGTAATATCTTTACTTTCCACGCTGAGGCTCAACACAAGCAAACAATTCAAAAACGCTGAGTTAGATGTTTCCAGTGGCTTGTTCTAAACCAAGCGAGCTAAGGTCAAAGTCGTGGTCAATTATTCCTGACCACATAGATGGGAACTACCGTCTTTTAGCGAATATACCCCGCACCCAAATATACCCCGCACCTGAATTTACCCCGCGTTTTTTTTTTTTGAGTTAAAAAAAATCTTGTATACCCCGCACACGAGTATAACCTGCAGGGTATACAAGGCTGTGCTGGGGGTATATTTATGGTGCGCATTGGGGCGGGGCGGGGGGGAATTAGCCAGCCACTTACTGCCCGGTTCCTGCGCAGCTGCCAGCCTCCGCAGCCGTAGGAAGGGGCAGGAGGCACACTTCCCCGCCTGCGCAGAAACCGGGCAGTGAGTGCTCCCCCGCCTGGAGGCTGCGCAGGAACCGGGCAGTGTGTAAAAAAAATTTTGTATACCCCGCACCCGGGTTATAGTCACAAAATTACGGTAGGTCAAATAATTTCCCAATGTGAGCATATGAACTAGATTTAAAAAAAAAAAAAAAAAACAGTTTTCTGAACCGATGCTGGAGTCTGGTGGAAAGTCGATTTTTCCAAATACAGATTGAACCTTTCTAGTCTGGCACCTTCGGGACCCAACCGGTTCTGAACCAGAGACTTTGCTGGCTCATGGGAGGTCAATATTGTCTAGCAGCATGACCAACACTTCCACTGCTTACTGGATTCTCAAAAAACATTTGGGGTAGATTCAAGCTAAAGAACAGCCCACAACAGAAAGCCAGGACGGGTGATTTTAAATAAACTTTATGGGCCCAGGAGAAATGTGGCCACACCCATGAAAAGCGGACACCTGGCTAACTAAAATAATTCCAGACCATGCATGTTTTTGGACCAGAGAGCTTCAATCTGAAGGAACTTCCACCAGGGAGAGTGTCACCCATCTCCCAATTACACCTCCCCTTATTGCTGAATGCAAGAGAGCTGACCTGCTGTCTTACAATTGCTGCCTGCATCTGCATCCCTTCCTCTACAATCTGGGTGTGAAAGTTTAACCATGTAAATGTTTAACTTAAAAGCCTGGGCTATATCAGAGGCAGCATCTTAGGAGTGGCAGCAGGCTCCCTGGGAGTCGGGCTGCAGGCGGGAGCTGGTGCTTGCTGGGAGCCGGCTTAAAAGCCACCTCCTGGCACACACCAGTTCCCAGGGAGCTACCTGCCACCCCACATGTAACGGTGTAATGGCTGAATTTTTCAGTAGTTACATGGTCAATAAATTACACACATTTTAATGTCCCTACTCTACAGAGCTTTAAAGCTCTCTCTGTGCTTCAGGACAGGTTCCTGATTCTGTTTCAAACCTGGCTGACAAACCTAGAGTTTCATGTAGGAAGCACAGATATTAAAGAATGAAAACTACCCAGCAGATGGCTTCATTCGGCTTTGCCAGTGCAGGACTGCTTCCTCCCTACCCTGAGATTATGCCATCTATTCTAATTTTAAATGGCATGAAAGGGGGCTGTGGAGCTTCCTGTCAGGGAACGGTTGCTATTATTCAGATAATTTTTCCTTTCAATTTCATCTCATTATCCCATTTATCTCTAGGGCTCCTTTGGGATGGGCAGCCAGAAGGCCACATGCGACCCATCAGGGCTGTGTATGTGGCCCTCGAGACATTTTATTTACGGCTGCCCACACACAGGGTTGCCAGATTCCGCTAGTTTCTATCCACAGACATTTTTTTCATACTATTATTCAGATAATTTTTCCTTTCAATTTCATCTCATTATCCCATTTATCTCTAGGGCTCCTTTGGGATGGGCAGCCAGAAGGCCACATGCGACCCATCAGGGCTGTGTATGTGGCCCTCGAGACATTTTATTTACGGCTGCCCACACACAGGGTTGCCAGATTCCGCTAGTTTCTATCCACAGACATTTTTTTCATACCGGTGTTATTAAAGCGACAAGCACGTAAAGCCAGGCCACATGATGTGAGGCACATGCTGATTGCACACAACAGTGACTATGAGAGCTGTGTGCTCCCTTGGCATCCAATAACAGTCCTGCTACAGGTCAGCTGGCTCACCCTGCAAGTTCTAGGTACGCAAGCGTAGTGAGCAAACCTACTTGCTGTGTCTACATTGGCATCCCTTTCCGGAAAAGGGATGCTAATGAGACACATCGCAATTGAAAATCCGCGGGGGATTTAAATATCCCCCGCGGCATTTGCATTTACATGGCTGAAGCTTTTTTCTGGCTTGGGGATAAGCCGGAGAAAAGCGCCAGTCTAGACGTGATTCTCCGGAAAAAGGGCTTATTTTCCGGAGAATCACATCTAGACTTGAAAGTAGGAATAAGTAGAAAGTAGACTTGTTTAGACTTGAAAGTAGGAATAAGAGATCCTCCGGAAAAGGGCTTATTTTCTGGAGAATCACGTCTAGACTGGAGCTTTTCTCCGGTTTATCCCCAAGCTGGAAAAAAGCAGCAGCCATGAAAATGCAAATGCCGCAGGGAATATTTAAATCCCCCACGGATTTGCAATTGCGATGTGTCTCATTAGCATCCCTTTTCCAGAAAGGGATGCCAATGTAGACACAGCCACCCTGTTCTGGGAGGCTGTCTTAGGCTATGTCTAGACTGCAAGCCTCTTTCGAAAGAGGCTTTTTCGAAAGATACTTTCGAAAAAGCTTCTTTCGAAAAAGAGCACCTAGACTGCAATCTCTTCTTTCAAAAACGTGAACCGCTTTTTCGAAAGAGAGCACCCAGGCAGTATGGATGCTCTCTTTCGAAAAAGCACAGTTTGCATTCAAGAACGCCTTTTTTCGAAAGAGCACTTTCGAAAAAAGGCGTTCTTCCTCGTGAAATGAGGAGTACCACCGTCAAAAGAGAAGCTGCGTTTTCTATTTAATTTCAAAAGAGTGCGGCTGTAGTCTGGACACAGGTGAAGTTTTTTCGAAAAAAGGCTACTTTTTTCGAAAAAACCCTGTAGTCTAGACACAGCCTTAGTTATGACAATCTTGCAGCCTGCTGAGATGAAGGAGGGACAG